TCCGATACGAGCTAATCACAACTAAACAACGTCAATTGCCGTAGTTATATTATTCCCATCATAGTTTATTTAGGTGCTATGAGAGGAGGAAATCTACGGCATGCAGCTAAAAACAACTGACATTTACTTCTCATTCAAGTTAAAGGCTTGCAGGACTGAAAACCAGAACTACGCTGTGCACAAGTGCACACAGATAAGCTCCTTGGAAGGGCGGTTGCCTCAAACTAACATATGCTAACGCTAACTAGCAGGGCAAATCGGAAGACCGAATGCTCTTAACAGAAGCCAGCCAGTAGTCACAATATGTTCCCGCAGGTGCAGTGTCGCTCATCGGATGAGAGTAGCTGAGCTAACTGGCTAAAAGAGGGGCTGCGGCTAACTGGCCTTGGTTTCTCTACAGAGTGGGCCACTTGCATTCGGCCTAGCCCGAGAGATTAGGAGTGAATTTTAAAGCCCTGCACTGTGTTTGTATTCTTAAACCAGATCTGTGAATATGAACGCAGTTTGATAATGCAATGCATCCAGTTAGACGAGCTACCTTCATCAACAGGGCCTTCGTTCTGGCGCCATCTTCATGAAGCTTCTGAAATCCAAACAGTGAGCTGCAAAGCAAGAAGACAACATAGGCGGCTCAGTATCACTTGCAGGGCGGTTCAGGGACATTTAAAACACGCAATGGAGAAAAAGCGATTAATTTTGCGTGTTTGAGCATTCATGCGAGTGCGCGGAGTTGATATTCCCGACCTGTCGATCCCGGCCAGAGTCTCCCTCTCCTGGGCTGTCAGTGTCGGAAAGTCCTCCTCTGTTTCACTCGCTTTTCCCGCCGCCATTTTCTTTCCCTCATCACCAGCAGAAGAAGCCGAGCCGAGACTCCGAGCAGCAGCGCAGGCGGCGGCGGCGACAGAGACGCCGCACGACTGCATGGGACGAACGCAGTGCTCCGCCGAGTCAAAGGAAGGAAGCCGAAGACAACAAAATGATCAAAAACTTTTCCCCAGGATGATAAGATGCTGTTCGGTGTAGTAAATCCTGTCGGGGGGGCACAAAAGCGCTCTCCGGGTATCTCCTCACATTTTTCATCACAAAGTAATATTATCCCGTTGTTGCGATGCACATAACTGAGTGCAGTATCCAAAATGTGGGTATTTCACCATAAAACGCGTTTCGGCCGCGAAGATAAAGTTGTTATAATTGTGAAACCCAAGCGAACCCACGCGCCGTTCTAGCCCCGCCCTCTCTTCCCATGTCATCCAATAGCAGCGCCCATTTCCTACCATATGACTTCTCTGCTATACCATTCTTTTATTATTTAATGTAAATTTGTCCCTGATAATTGCAAATAATTAATACCACTACGATAGATAGATAGATAGATAGATAGATAGATAGATAGATAGATAGATAGATAGATAGATAGATAGATAGATAGTGTTTGAAAATGTGATTCTACGTTTTCATCTGATAGAATCATATTTTTAATGGATATAGAGACCATTATTTACATTATTTTTGTCCTTTGCAAGTTATCTGGGATGTGTCTTGTATAAATCATACCTTCACTGGTTGCAGTTCCTGATATACTTTATTTAAAAGGGAAAGCTTAAATAAATTTTGCCGTATAATATACAATTGATTTAAAATGCATTTTCATTCATGCCGTTTATTTATTTGCGAGTGATTTATTTATTATTATTATTTTTATAAGGGGGCACGGGTTAATGCTTTCTAAACCAACCACTACGGAAATGTGAGTCTTTTTGTCTTGAGTTTATATCTTCCTGCGTTATTAAATACATTTTAATAACTATTTACTTATTATTATTTCGTTCATAAAGTTCAGTACAGTCAATGCAATTAGCAGATAATTTTCTAAACCACTGAACGTAAATAAATGAAATGACAGCATTTTTTTTTGCCGCGTGACGTAGGAAGTTGTCATAATATGGGCGTGGCTTAGAATTGTCAACATCCCGGTGACATAACTAGTATATCCAAAATGGCGACGGGGGACCACAGAGAAGGTTAGGCAACTGTTCATGTTGGGTTTACTGTCAGTTCTAAATGATTTTCTTATTCTTTTTCTATAAAAACTTAGTTCTTGGAAATGGAATATATCTTTCAAACACAATGAAAACAAATCCGTACCACACAGCGAGCTATTCGCTTTATACCTAGCTAATATTAGCTACTCCTCATGTTAAAAAAACGTATGAACTGAGCACTTTAGTTTAGGGTCAGTAATAGCCTAAAATATACATTTCATGTGGTTAATAACACAGCAGGGCAGGACGACCCGGAGAGCGAAGACGAGGTCTATGAGGTGGTGGATCTGACAGAGTACGCCCGGAGGCACCAGTGGTGGAGCCGGGTGTTTGGGAACAACTCCGGCCCGATTGCTGAGAAATATTCCGTGGCCACTCAGATCATGATGGGAGGGGTTACTGGATGGTAAGGATCATTATGGATCGACTAAAACTGAATCTCTCTGCAGTTATTTCCCATCAATTAAGTCGAAGATAATAGTTTAAATGTTCTGAATTACATACAAAACCTTGAAAGAAGTTCTGCCAATTGAAAATGGTAATATTCATCCAGATAACAAAACAAAAAGTTTATGTACATGTATTAATTTGATGCAATAGACAAAGTAGGATGCAATCTTAAATTTGAATAAGAAAGAACATGTAGTTTTTCTGTATTTAAAACCAGTGCCTATTATTGTTACATGTCAATAAAATAGTTTGTACTAAACAGAAAGTTTGAGCTGCTTTATGTTGGTCTATTACATCAAATCCTAATAAAATCTAGTCAAACTTATTGTCACATGACAAAATATGGAGACTTTCAGAGAAAATGACTGCTTCTGCAAAGGGCTGTGTTTTGGCTTTTGCCGTTTGAGAACCAATCCTCCTCATCTTATCAACCTGTCCAGGTGTGCTGGCTATGTTTTCCAAAGAGTCGGGAAGATAGCGGCAACTGCCATTGGTGGAGGATTTCTTCTTTTACAGGTAAATGCATGGAAGTAATAAATTTATGCTGCCCTAAAATAAATAAAAGAATGCTGCGGCATCCTTTGGAATACTTAAATGAAAAGTGAAGAGGACAGCTGCACAGCATACTGCTCGACTCCTTACAGCAGAAAAAAAAAAACTTTGTGCTGCCTCTGGGTGAATGTGAACCATCTGGGTGCTTCCACAGAATTGCATTCATATCGGTTCTGTTTTTTTGTTTGTCTGTTTAAGCAATCGCTTAACCACTTTGAGATTAACATGTGGTTATGATTTATTCCTCCTGCAGATTGCTAACCACAGTGGTTACGTGCAGGTGGACTGGAAAAAGGTGGAGAAGGACGTAAACAAAGCAAAAAAGCACCTGAAGAAGAAGGCAAACAAAGCAGCCCCTGAAATAAACACATTCATTGAGGAGGTAAAGGTACCTGGAACAAAGCTTGCTCTTTTATAACCTCTTTTTTTTAATTCAATCTTGCTGATGTTATTTATCCTTTTCTAAGTTTATCATTAAATTAAGAATTACATGTGGCGTTGATCTGAAACAAAGCAGTGCCCTCTAGTGTTAGGTTAGAACAGCTACATCAAAATGTTTCCTGATTCAGTTTTCTTTTTTGCCTCTTTTTCCTGCAGGCCACAGATTTTATAAAGAGGAACATCGTCCTGTCCAGCGGGTTTGTTGGTGGCTTCTTTTTGGGATTGGCATCCTAAAGCTGCAGCTCACACATTACCCTCCCACCTACTTTGAATCTCGTCACTACATTTATCTCCATAGTTTACCTCTTTGCCCCATGCGTCTCCTGACTTATCACATATTGAAGTGAGAGTAAGGGTTCTGTTAAATATGTAAGCATGATCTGTTGTGACAGTGGCACTCATGCTTTTTCTTTTCTTTTTGATTCTGAAACTGACTACTGCGGGTATCATTGTAAATATTTCAATTCTCACCAGAACTGTACATATTTCATACACTGGGAGTGGCTAAACTCAACTAAATCCAAGAATTTACCTTTTTATGTTGATGGGAATATTAGAAAAGTTCGTTTTCTCAAAGAATTGTGCATTTTCACCCCGAAAGACATGGTCAAAATGCTTTTTAAATGACTGGATGGTCATTGGCTGAACTGTAATTATGACCAGACTGCAGATCAAAAACAAAATGAAAGTGTCTGGTTATTCAAAAGCAGCAACTTTGACTCATAAGCCTCTTATTGTAGTGGTTGTGAGTCCCTTAGTGTCTGTGTAGGAATAACAGCGTTGTTACGTTGTTTATAGCAGTCAAACTCTACTCTTAAGTTGAATTTTATTTTTGCCTTTTTTGTATAAGTGCAATAAGCTATATCATTATTTGTTCTTGAAGATGTTGCTAACTCTTCAACAGGTGTTTTTTGCTGTTTGTTTTTATTTGATATGTTTTTGATAAGCCTGTCTGTGTTTCATTTCTGTCTTTTTGGAATAAATATGCTTGAATTTGTTGAAATTCAGTTTTCTTAAAGTTTGCTCTTTGATCAGGATATTTATATATGGCTCTCACTAGAAAATATTTGATCAGTAGAAAAAAAAAACATGCTCATACATTATTTCAAAGTTCATCCCACAACTATTATGAGCTATAGAAAATACCTTGGAAAAATCGTATAATACATTGCTCCTCTTCAGAGAGTTCAGTTCTAGTCTCAAGTTAAACTCGGCATTGATGTATTTCATTTTAGGTTTGTAAGCTATATCAACATAGTAAAATCATTGTAGTGTGTTATTCTAGAAGTTATGGATACTAACAAAAGGAGATAAAATAAAATAGGGGGATGGATGGACAAGATGAAGTGATGACAAAAAGAACCCAAAACAGATTTAAACCTGAACACAAGAAATAAAGTTTGAAAATGTCAACTTTTTTACTACTTATTTTTCTAAACATGTCAAGATTATACATTTCACATTCTGTACAAAATGAAACAAAATTATTTTTTGCTTTTATTCATATCAAGTCACAAATAAAGTAGAATATTCAGAGTATTTACAAACAGGTGGGAAACTGAGGGAGGTGTGTCTTTAAAACACCAGTAAGGTTCAGCATCACTCGTCATAATTGTGAGCAAACAGAATTTCTCTGAAGGTGAGTCCAAAAAAAATAAAATGTCTGGTTTTACTTACGTTTGTATTAAAGAGGAAACTAAAAAAACAAACATCTTGTCTGGTTTTTTTTTTGCTGTCTGCTCAGTGTCACAGCTAGATGGGCATTTTCAGGAGGGCACATTCGGTGAGCAGGCTGACGATGCTGATTAGATATCTGCTACTGGAAATCTGAAAAACAAGAAAACATTTGCTTTAAATAGTGCACCGTATGTACATTGCAATGTACATGGTGAAAAATACGTACTGAACATGTCAATTTTTTTCCTATCATAAATTAAATAGAGGTACTGATATGAAATTTTCCTGAGGTTTAACAAGTCAAGAAATCCAGAACAAATGCAAATTAAATCATGCATAATAAAGGGAACAAATATTCCATTAATTAGATGAGAAATGAGAGAGAAAGCCAAGAAACCAGTTAAAATCTATCATTTTTTTAGAAAGAAATCCTGCTTCAACCATTGCACATATATTCAATATGTCAATACAGTACCTTTATCTTGCCGTTGACTTTGGCTGATCCCAGTGCAGAGGATACTTGGTTCAGTTCCCCAGCTGAAAGGTCCACCCTGAAGTGTCTGTAAAAGTGGCTCATGAGTCCCTGCATGAACCTCGTCACCTCCGAGAAGTCGATGCACACTTCATCCTCCGCCTCCTTGCTCTTCTCCGCTGAACTCTCCCTCGTGCTTCTCCACAGGTCCAGCGCGTCGTCAGAGTTGACCGTGTAAGTCACCTTTAGCGGTGGCTCAACTGGGAGAGTCCAAATCATTTTCAAGTTCTGAATGTTGGTTTCCATGTGGCAGTTGGTCCACAAAGCAGCAAGCCACTGCAGAGTGATTTGGTTGATGTCCAGAGGGCCAAAGCAGCAGTCAAAGGTCCTCTGCAACCAAGACTTAACCACAGAAGACAGACTCTCTGCCCCTTTGCTGCAAAAGAGAGGTAGGCAGGTAAAATCCTTTGGAAGTGACTGAAGGTATTCAGGGTTGCCGTTGATGCAGGACAACCACCCACTCCAAACCGTCTTCAATGGATCTTCTTGCCTTGCAAACATTGGCTTTGACTGTATCTTTAAAAGAAAAAGAGACAAGATAATGAAATGCAACCGAAAATGGCTGGAAAACCCTCTACATCCAAGCCCTGTCACTACCTGGATGAGGACAGCCTCAGGGTCATTGCTCGTCTCTGCCAGCCCCTGCAGCTCAGAGAAGGAGACTTTGAAGGTGTTCTGCGGCTTCCCCACCTCCACCGCCAGGCCCTGCTGCTTCTCTGCAGCAATGAACGCAGAGAGCTGCCGGGAATAGTTCTTCAGCTGGGTGTGTCTGAACTGGTAGAGAGGAGTGACGTACGACAGTTGCCACTCTGTTTTCACCAGCAACTCCAGGTGCTCTGGCTTCACTTTTTCCTTTGAAATCAATAAATTATGGTCATCACTCCATGACTTTCAAAACAAACTAAACCATCCAACGAAGTGAAAGACAGGTGCAACTCACAGTGATGTTTTGGGACCTTGGAACTTTCCTGCTGGTGTTCATTCTTCGTGCGGTCAGCGCCGGAGTCAGGCCAAGACCTGATGCAACGCCAAAGCAGGTGCGGATTGACCGCCGATAGCTCTGACTTTTGCTCCTCCTCTTTACAACACCACTGTGTGGAGTCCTCCCTGCACTGAAGAGAAAGAACATATGCAGGACATTGCAGGGTTATTTTTTTTTAAAGAACATAGACTTTACAGACAGATAAAACATCTAATTCACACTTTGGGTTGTAAGATCTTCTTTGTGCACACTTGAATTCTTAGAATTACTTTGGAAGTCAACAACCTTCTGGCTTAATTCTGACAACTGCTCTTGGGAGATTAAGTAGATTATAGATCATACAGTGTGGTGGTGGAGGGAAGCAAATAAAATGAACTTAATCAAGACATTTTAGCAGCTTTCTGCAAAATTTAAGGTCCATTCCAGCCATTCCACTCTCAGATTACGTGCAATTACTTTGCCTCTGAATTTGTCATTCCACAATAATTAAAGGCCTAGTAATATATTGAAATTCTACATTTGAATAAATGTTTGCATTGCTTTGCATTTATCCAAAAGATATAATTTTAGTGATTATAACTGTCCTTTAACAGAAAATTTAAGTCTGAGTTAATGGCACAGCATAAAAAATTTATTGTCTTTTTTACATTGGACGTAATTATATGGTTTAACTATATATTGGCCCTATGTTATCTCGACTTTTTTAGAATTTGAGAAATCCACAGTAAAAACTTATGCACAAAAAACGCGCACGGTGACTGCTAATGAAGCTATGCCAACAGTGAATAGATGAAAACGTCTGACAACCACAACCCTTCCAGGGTCTTATCGGATAACTGTGTTATAAATATTTGAGGAAGAAAAGTCGAAGTTAAAATGATTCTGCTCTGACACAAAATATTGTCGCCCAAAGCAAATGAAAGGGAGAATAAAGTGGTGTGAAAACCCAATCTGCTATCGTACTCTGTTGGATTTAAATGATAAAGTCAACGGAGATTATTAAAAGAGCACCTCACGCAAATTAAGTGGTGAGTTTTTAAGCTAGCTGGACGCTCCCTGTGGAAGGAGTCCCACAGAAAAAGCTGTAAAAACGACAGGTTTAATGTCGTTTGTTAAATTAGTACCACCATTAAAAAGTGCAGAGATACAAAAAAAACTGTACCTTTCACGAGACCCTTCCATGCTCAATTTACCGAGCAAAACTCAGAGAAAAATAACAAACAGTAACAAAAACCGGAAACTAATCTTCTTTCTTCTTCTTCTTTTTGTATTAAGGCGGTTGGCAAACAACGTATTGACGTAAACCGGAAACAAATTTTGAACAACGCGCGGTCTTCTTATTCTACTTCCAAAATTCCAGATTACCGGCGTATTACTGCCATCTACTGCTCAGTCGGTACCACTACGTTTGTAATGCCATTCAAAATCACGACTTCTCCTTTAACTTTTTACATTGTCACATTACAATAAAAGTAAGTAGAACAGAAGACCAGCAATATGTGCTCAAGTAAGGGCAGCACTGCTTCAACATGTTTTAAACTAAATAAAAATAAAAATTGAGCCGTCCAAAAAACTCAAACTGAAAAAAACCCCATTTTTTTGCATATAATGTGACGAAAATATGAATATTTAGGCACTGAATCAATCTGGCACAATTTCACAGCTAGAATTTATTTAAATAGTTGACCAAAAAGATCATATGCTTCTTGCATGAAAAACATTAAATGTTAGTGTGTAGGTACTTATATTCCTTTAAGTTTATTTTCATCTTTGCGCCTGTATGTGAATTGCCGTGTGTGCATATTTTATAGTTCTCTTTCACACGAAATCATGTTACCATAGAAACAGGGCTCTTTTCTCTTTTACCCCCCTATGCCTGTTCACATTCTTCATCTTCTTTACAATTCATTTTGATTTTCATCCATCTGCTTTGGCTGCACTTATTGTTTCTCGTCCCACATGTGCACTGTTCATGCGTTTGTGTGTTTCTGTTTTCTGACTGACTGAGCATTGAATGGAGGGATAATGAGTAGCGGATAGCATGATGACCACATCAACAGCCAATCAAATGGTTCGTACAAGCTGGTAGGTTCAACCAATGGAGGGAAGCCTGAAGAGGACGAGTGAGGAGGGATGCAGCACTGCAGAACATCCTCCAAATACACAGCACCATCTAGTGGCAACCAATGTCCTTGTTCATTCCCATCTTTTTCTCTCAAAACAATAAAGAGTGAGGCAAACTAATTTAATTCACGGAAGATTTCTTGGAGTTACATTTAGAGTAAAACTAAAAGCACTTAAGAAAATAAACATTACACAGTTAGTCATGTTTATTTGTATGGACATTTCAGCAATAAGACAGCTTAAAGTGCTTTAAATTATAAAACCATCACGCAATCATTAATTACGAAACAAGCAATAACCCTTTCATTTTGTCAAATGCAATAATCAAAATCATCAAACAAGTACACATCAAATATGTCAAGCAATGTTCCAGTTCATGCAAACAATTGCATAAAGAATACATGGAATGCTTTTACCAAGTATTGTGCACAAAAAAAATATGTGCACAATATTAATTGTGCACATTAATTGTGTAGGAGATCCCTACAATCCTGTTGGAATTATTGCTTTTTTTTAAAAAAAATGTTGAATACATTTACAAAACACTCCAAAAAATACAATAAAATTAAAAAATAAATAAAATAAAATTCTTATAAATTGTATTTGCATGTAGAATTTTAAGAAAAGAGACATAAATAACTGATTTTAATCCTTGAGAAAATGTGTGGGTATGTTTTGAGGCATGTCCCTGATGGGAATTTGGGAATCACTGACATTTCTGCTTATTCCTCATTTTTGTCCAAGTGCAGACAATATCCGTTTATAATTATTCAGCAAGTAGCCATAATGTGTGGAAATGGCTATGACTGACAGAAAATATGATTACGAGCGTAACACGGAGTCTGTTAAAATGATGGTGATAAGAAGGGGAAAGGCTGACGTAAGGTGATGAGATTTTGCTGGTTGACGCATGCGTAGAATACACTGAGTGAAACCATTGGAGAGCTTAGCAGGAAACTGTGAATGTAGTGCGCCACGACAGGACGCCATATTGGCTCAAATTGGGCTAAAAAAGCGTGTGTGGGCCCTCTTTTCTTCGTGGCCATTTTGGCTCTGGAAAGACCACTTGTCTGGTCGACAGAGGGAGGAGTCTGGCATTTCTGGAAGTCGCGAAAAAAACAAAAAACAGCCAGGCAAAGCCAGTCAGCATCTTGGGAAGCGTAAAACCCGACAGCGACGAGTGGTTTTTTTTTCACGGTACAATTTTAATATTCTCCAGCACAAGCGATCTATGCAACAGAGAAGGCTGTGGACATGGTCGCGAAGGGCTTTAATTTGGGCTCGGGAAGCTGAAGCATTCTGCAACCCGAGCTCATAGCGTGTTTTCGGTGGGGATCAGCCATCTGTGATACACCAACCGGTGATTCTGTCGACTGCTAGCTCGCGTTAACCTAGCCTGCTAACCCTTCTCGAGAGTCCCGTTAGCTTGCGGCGAAAGCCAGCATCCGAGGTCGGAGCACGGGACGTGTCTGTGGATGCTGCTGCGGGTGCAATAAGCTTCGCCAGGGGGGTACACCCGAGGCAATGCTAAAAGGAGTGTTCTTCTTCCAACCAGCGAGGAAATCTCCACGCCCTGGGGTCTCGTCTGTGGTTACGGCTTAGCCAGCCCACCAGGAGCGGAGCGGAGCTCGGGAGAAGGTGGGGCCGTAGACTGACAGCCTGGGTCGCCAGCTAAATGCGGCTAACAGGCTAATTCTGTTTATTTTCGTGGCTATTTGAGTTCTCGTTCATTTTTGTTTTTTCAGGGGTTTGAGTTAGCAGCTGCGTGAGTAACCTCACTTGACAAAGAAATTAAGCTGACATTGATTACTTCCAAACCCCGGTGGGTGGGATTTCTTCTGGAGAGCATCCCAGCTTACCTAGATGACCATGGCGGACGACGACGTGCTGTTCGAGGATGTGTACGAGCTGTGCGAGGTGATCGGCAAGTGAGTATTTCCATGCTCAGATAGATTACAGTCATATTGACTTTATTTGAAACATGCTTATGTTTTGACGCAAAGGTGTGCGAGGCTAAAGGTTAATTGCACGGGTGAGGTTGGAGTTACAGCATCTTTACTGGCTTTACAGCTTCCACACAAGGGTGTAGTTTCTTGCCATTAATAGACACGCTGACGGTGTAAACACATTTAATGTTTGTGTAAAGCACACAGATATCTTTGTAATTCTGCTTTATGCATATTTGGGTCAATGACATCACAAGAGGCACATACTTTAGAATACTAATCCTTATGTAATTTATTTATTTTTTACTATATTCTGCTTGGATCAGGATCAATTATTTACTAATACAGTGGCACTGCATGCAGTTTGAGTTATAGCTACTTTAACTTACCCAAGCAACTTTTTTCCCCCCATTTTTCCTATTGTGTTGACCATGTTTTTTTAATATATATACAAACATTTGACTCAAAATGATAACTCGGTTCTTTTGTTGCAAAATATTAGCTGCAAAGGGCTAGTATCTTGATTTGCAAACAATTCCTGCTTGTTTTACAGTTGACAAACGATGTTCAAAGTGGGTTCGATTGATTTTACAGGAAAGTCTGTCCAGTAGTTTAAAGATGAATGCACACACAAAGGCCAAAGGGTGAATAATGTTCCATGCAGGAAGAGGAGTTTACAAGCCTAAATTGGATCATTAGTCTGATAAGATCTTGACTTGCTAGTTCGTCCTCTGCAATATGTTTTTCTAATTTTGCTTGTACCCTGTTGCCATTTATTGCTTTTAATGAGATACACACTTTTTTTTCTTGTAAGTTTTCACATAAAGTGCAACTAATAGGTTATTTTTTTCAGTTTTCTGAGCCCAAAGCAGCCTTTTGTGCATTTCTCCATGCAGTCTTGAATAACCCTGAACAGATAAGTCCTTAAATTAGCAGTTTTCTTTCTTTATAGCGAGTAAAGTAATACGAAACTGTCTCTCCTCCAGTTGCAGCTCACTGCTGGTCAGCTGGCTGAAAGAAGGCAGCTATTCTTTCCCTCTCCCATGCATGAAATGCAACTTTTGCTGGTTGGAAATACTTCCAGCATCTCTGCAGGCAGAAGCCAAGAAGGTAGTAATTAGTGGTGACTGATTAATTTTCTATTATTAGCTTGCTATACTTGATACTTGCTAAATTATTCAGTGCAGTAAGCACTGAATAAAAGTACCTCTAAATTTAGTTGATAAAATAATTTGCAACGCTTAAAAAAAATTGAAGTCATGTGTTTTAGGACTAAATGTTTAAAATTTTTGTTCCAAAGTTTGTTGAATTTTTGTATTTTTTTGCAAGCTCATCTCATAGTGGTGTACGCTGCATTATTGAAACATGTCTCTCTGCTTCAGCACACCTGGCACCAATATTGGCTCATTAGCAGAGCTCTGTAGATCTTGATTGCATGCTAGTGAGGCGTTTAATTCAGGTGTGTACGACAAGGATGCAGGTCTCCGGCCCTCAAGGAATGCAGTTTGTGACCACGGACTAATTATTTCTGTAAGTTTGAAAAAAATGCATCCAACACCCCTAATCTCAGCATGGAAATTACACAGAATGAACAAAATAGGAGAAATGGTAATCACATTTATCATTCTGAAAGGCAGCTTTTAAACGTCATACACATTGCTCTTAGAATCCTAAACAAAAGAATGATTTGTTTCAAAATATGCAACTTAATTTAGAGTTTTTAGTATTGAATTCGTCAGTAGAAAGGAGGAACAGGGAAAGAGGCATCCTGTAATAAAAGAGGGTAGAGGTACTGAAACTGGAAATGAATGTTTTCGTTCCGTTTCCTCCTGCAACCACCAAGGGATCCTGAAACTTCTCACTCTAGATTTGAGGGCCATGAAAAGGTTGTCAAAAAGATGAACCTTCACTTTTCTAAACTGGATCCAAAGACTTCATATTGTATTTAATGTTTGAATTTAGTCAAACTGGTCTCATCATTTTTATTAAATGCTGACTCGGGATGAAACAGTTATGTTTATAATCAGTTATTCTACCCATTAATTGATGAATCAAAAAAGGCACATTTTAGAGATTTTTCATTTGATCATGTAATGTTTTTTTTAACAATACATAAATTAAAATATGCATATCAACAAATAACTCAATTCCATTTTAAATAAGAGCATTTTATTGCCTGAAATGCAATAACATACAATTGCTTGTGTG